CTTTCCCTCGCTGGCTCCTGTAGTACCGATTGGTGTAATCTGAGCTAGTTGGTTACTCATTATGAAAAAACCAGCTGAACTAAGGAAAAGGTAGAGATAGAAAGAAAGACACCCGATCGCTGGACTACCAACTGTTTTTATATATAAACCTCCTCTTCATCCTCTTCCTCTCCTTCTGCATAATTCACTTCGTTCCCCCCTTTTCCCCTTTGTTTTACGTTTTATTTTACAAGATGTTGACCCCCTCGGAGAAATAGTTTTTCGGTGCGCAACAAGGTGATTGAAGGTGCACTAACACACCCATCTCCTTTTTCTTCTATGGCAGCAGCTTCTAACATCTCCCGCGCGAGCTGGCTTTTGTGGCGTGCTACGATGTTAACTTGCGCGAGCTTCGCCGTGCACTTCGCTTCGCCGACTGAAAGGAAAGTCCCTTCAGTGCCGTGCATACTTGAGCGTCCACTGAAGCGAGAATGGTTCCATATGAACCTACTTGCCATTAAAGACCAAAGTTCTCTTTTTCACTCTTATTTTCTACTCACCTAATACAATGGTTTGTTAACAGGAACACCACCGTTAACTAGAAAACTCGTTCGTAATGCAAGTCCTCCGTAGTAATGAATCATGTTTAAGGTCTAATTAACCAACAAGCATGGGCACTAAAGATACCCTCCTACATGGGTGAGTATTAGTGGACCCGATTCGGCTAACATTTGCGAGTCCTAGCTTGACAGCATAATAAATGACATTGTTTCTGGTCACATTATTTTTTTTAGATGCCTTGGCATTAGTTCCGACCTTGGACTGGTTTTGAGCGCACCAATATAATGTTTGCAACTTCGCCATGGGAACCACGAAGTTCTTTCAAAACTAAATTCCGAGCTTTAAATTAAAATAACCAAAAAAAATTTACAGATGGACGAATATAATTACCATTGTATATGCCCATACCTACTGGCATCTGTTTCCAGAGAAATCAACAAATACCAAAGAAATGCACGAATTATACATCGTGAAGAGGCCTGCCGACAACCTGAAGAACGGTGTATTGAATGCCAAGAACGCATGAATTGATAAGTTTTCCGTTCGCAGCATGGTTCTCTAAAGGCCCGTTCACTCTTGCGACCTCTTAAAACTGGGTTCCTTAAAACCTCTTACGAGAGGACACACTGGCGCCATCTATTGGGTAGCAGTGTAAACTTGGCGGTCCGGCATATTTACTATTTCTCTTGTGCATTATCCTTTCTTTCTTGGCTCGAAAAACTTTTGTCAACGTTATAAACACGCCTTTCTTAAAGGTATTACGCACGTTTGACCTCGGAAATCCCGCGGAACCTTCGCTCTTGTACAATGAAGTTTTAACAGATCTCGTCTTTCTCGGTCGTACTCGGTAGCAAGAGTGTGAACGGGCCTTAAGACTCAAGTTTTTGCCAACTGTGTTCATTTTCTTTAATCTTGGAAAGTGCTTCCAAGATAGCAGTGAACATGCATCCTCTCGAAGTTGCTGGTGCATGCTTGGGACACCCCCATGTACCTCCGGAAAGGGACGCCCATACCATTTTGTTAAAGGGATACTTCAACGAAATTTGAAATATTCCCGTCGTGTTCAGAAATAGGTTGAATATGATCCACAATATCTGTAAATGATAATCGCACGTTTGTATTTTGAGCCTGGTGGCTGTATTTTTCGTTATAAACGGCCCACTTTGGCAAGCACTCGGAGAAGGCCCAGTGGAGACCACGTGACATCCAACGCAATCGTGACGTAGGTCGTCTCAGGACGAGCAAAGCTATGGCGAGGCTGACGTCGACAAGATGGCCTAGTCGTTCCAGCCACCGAAGCTGCTGCTTTTGTACGAAGTTTGAGTGACGGGTTAATCTTCTGTAATCTTGTAGGGGGACAATAGCGACTCCTGCGACACGCAAAAGCCATTCTCGGGAAGCGGGGACTTCCTCCTGCTCCCCTTCTCTCGTCGTGGCCGGAGGCGAGACAACCTCCGTCACTACACTCTCAGAAAAAAAGGGTGTATGTGGGTGTATCGCGCACCCTTACACCCCCCTTCGACTGGAGACACCCGGCGAGCGTAATCGTACTCCCATCACGCGAATCCTCCTCTCCCAAAAAAATCGGCGGGCGAGGCGAGGGTGTTGCCAGGTGCACCATTACACCCCCCCCCCTTCCCCCTTTCCTTTTTCAAAAAGGGGAGAGGGAGTGCTATCAGGAGAGCGCAAGAAAACAAACAAAATGCGCGCGGTAATAGAGTAGAGCGCGCGTCCTGATTAGCAGTCACTGGTTACACGTCATCCGACTGACAACCTATCGCGATAGCGATCGCGTTTCGCGCGTTATCTGGCCTTCGTGTTGCTAGGAGACTTGACCTCCTCACCTCCTGCGTTCCATCTCGGCGTGCTTCGGCGGCCATACTTTTGCTTCGGCTGGCGAGTGACATCGCCTTTGTTCACTCGCGCTACTTTGAATTGCGTGTTTTTTTTAAAAGGTGGTTGGACAAAGCGGATCGTGTTCACGAAGCGATGCTTGGCACGTACTGCACTGCAGTCACAAACCAAGATGTGCCCGCCCGATGAAGGTAAGTCTGCCGTTTACATGCACTCGTTGGATGCTGCGTTTTGGGAGGCATGGGGCCTGCTAGCTGGGTACGTGCTTTCCTTTTTCTCCTGTTTATGTCAGAGTTACTTCGCTTTTGCATTTGTGGCATGTGTGCGCGGTGGCGGTGCCCGGTTCTCTGTGTGTACAAACGAGCACGACATCGCAGCTTCGAGACATTATTCTTGCGTGTAGAGCTGGCGTCATTCAGAGCAACGGGTCTCTATCGTTTCGCCAAAAAACACTTTTTGTGGACAGATGTTACATGGACTCTCGTTCGTCGACACTACCGTTCCATCGACAGTCGTTACGCGGATTTAGCGTTGTAGGAACATTTCGTCGCGGGTGTATCCTACACGTACTATCCGCTTCGTGGCAACAGTGTGAGGCAGCTCCTTACAGAAAAAAGGTAGTTTGTGCTGTCGATGAATCATCGCGTATCTATAAAACGATCTGTCGGTGAAACGTAGTTCGATTGCAGAGCAACATGCTCGCGCTTGTTACCGGCTTCGCTCGCACGTATGGTTATGCAATGCGATTTTCAGTGGGGATGATGGAACTATAGGTGGCGCTTCGGGACAAGGCAGTTCTTTTATAGGTTCCCTACGGGAGTCAGAGTTGCGCGTTCATCTTCGTAGCGCCGTCTTTCCTGCACGGCATGTTGATCCAGCTCCTCACGCGACTTTTGGACCTCTTGGCGAGCCAAGAGCTCTTAGCCTAGTGTCGAGGCTGCCACCTCGACACTAGGCTAAGTGTCGAGAAAACAACGCGCGCGCAAGGCCTCTCTTACCCGTTCCACACCCCAAACGTCAGCTACATCCTGTTCAACCATTGAGGCGCTGTGACCTAGATGCTGCTCCCCCAAACTCGCCTTTGTCCCCATCGTGCGTGATCTTCCGCCCCCGAGGTCGACACAACGAAACCATATTCCCTCCCTGCTCGGCCACTACGAAGAGGGAGAGGGTACTGGCACCATTGACTCTCGAACCGACGAGGCGCGCGGCGCGCTCAAAAGCAGGGGTGCGTACGGCGGGGCGCGTGCAACGTTACTTTCTTGCACGGTACGTGGTCGGATCTCGGCAAATAGCGGCGCGGCGGCACGTAGAAAATAGACGCGCAACTCTGGCTCCCGTAGGGAGCCTATACAGGAACTGGTACTCCAGTGCAGCATTGAGATTATAGGCTCCAGCCAGGGTTGCGCGTCTGGTTTCCACGTGCCGCCGCGCCGCTATTTGCCGATATCCGATCACGTGAGGAGCACTCCAAATGCCGCGCAAGAAAGCCACCGGTACGGCGGCTTCGCCGACGGTGCAAGCGCCTCGGTGTGCATACCCCCGCTTTTGCCTCCTCCTGTCCTGCTTTCCAGGAAATGAGGAGGTAGAGCGCGGCGGCCGCTATTCCCCGAATTCAGTCACGTGAGGAGCAGACTTGAAGTGCAGGAAAGTCGGAGCTACTAGGATGAACGCGCAACTCCTGACTCCCGTAGGCTGCCTCTGCAGGAACTCTAGGGCAGCATGGAGTTCCTGCGTAGGCCCCCTGCGGTAGCCAGAGCAGGGTTGCCAGGTATTTGCAGATTAACCCGTCAAAATTTCCTGATGTTGTGCCCAAGAATAGCCAATTGTCGGGCTATAAAAATAGCCCAACACATAAAATTTCATACAAGGTATTTACATTTCTTTGGAACACGGGTAACATGATACATGACATAAGACAATTATTTACAGAAGAAGGCAATAGGAGGATAAAGCGTCCCCATGTATATTTTAGTGCAGCGAAAGAAAGGGGTTCTCAAACATCTGTTAAGCTGCCCCCACTCCTCTTCCTCCCTCCTTCTAGAAACACGTGCCTCCACCCCTGCCTGCGGTATTAAATCGTGTCAAAAAACTTCGGAAAAACGATATTGCACCTGCGCAACCAACACCAATGAGGGTCCACATATTGTACTTGCACGCTTGTGATTTGGATATTTTCCTTTCCTAACCTCTTGAGTTGATTGTTTTTCTCTACCCGGCGCAGAAATATCATGTTTAAGGCTTTGAACATTGTTGAATATCGGGTATGAAATAGCTTAATAGCCAACCACTAGAGTTTCCTGCCTATTACAAAACTGAGTAGCCCAATTGGGCTGTTTATAGCCCAACCTGCCAACCCTGAGCCAGAGCTGCGCGTTCACCCCGGAGCACCGGCTTTCCTGCAAGGGACGAAATTCTGCTCCTCATCTCACTGGATTGGGCGAATAGCAACGTGCTCCTTCTCCTTTCCTGAAAAACAGGAAAGGAGGAGGAGACAAAAGCAGGGGAACGTACGCTGAGGAGATTGCATCGGCGAAGCGGCCGTATCGGCGGCTTTCCATCAGTGTATGTGGATTTTGCTCCTCACATGATCGGATCTAGGCGAATAGCGGCGTGTCAGCGTGTGGATAACAGACGCGCAACTCTGACTCCCGTAGAGAGCCTATGCAGGAACTCTAGGACAGCATTCACCAGCTTCGGTGTGTGTGGTGCTCAGTTTGGCGTTACTTTGAGAGCTCTATTCGGAAACATGTGTAGTGGCTGTACCCGCGGATGCTAACTTTTGCGAAGCTCGAGTTTGGCTAACTTTGAATTATCATGTTGGTACCCTACTTGTCAGACTCTTTCTTGGGCAAAATTTGTAAAATTAGACTACACGTTTTATTGCATTTTTCATTTGTGAAGCATACACTTTGTCACACTACAGCAACAATTAAGTGTCGCAGTGTTAATGGTTCAAAAACGCGAGTGTCTCCTTGTGCTTGTAGTATGCAAGTCATCTCAGGCACCTGTGAAGTGTGAGATAACATAAGATGCTTGGTTAGATCACGTGTACTCATGACTCGAATCTCTAACGCACAGGAGTGAAGCTCTGCTGCTAGCACAGATGTCGCCATAGTCTCGAGGCACCGTCTGGCAAGGTAAGCGATCAACTAGCCTGCTGATTTTTGTTTTCTTGTCAGATTGTTAAGCATATATTGTGAAATTAGGCTAAGTGCTTGCTTAGATAACGTGTACTAATGACTTTCATCTCTACTGCACAGGCGAGAGGCTCTGCTTGTAGCACAGTCGCTACCATAATCCCGATGCCCTTTCTGGGTAGGTAAGCAACCAACTATCCTGCACTGTTTTTTTTTTTTGTTTTTTTAGTTTGTACTGCATGTATTGTGAAATTGGGCTTGGTGCCTAGCTAGGTCACGTTAGGGCAGGTTAAAGACTGGCCGGCGGCGCCCAAGGGATACCAAGAGCACTCCCCCGCCCCCCCCCCCCCCCCCCTTCCTGACTCGAAAACAAGTTGGAACGCCACTGACCGTACATATTCCCCACGAACTACACCCTCTACAATACAGATACAACTACACATTGTATCTGTATTCCTGAATACTTTTTCACCAGTTTCGCAGAAGTGTCTCGGGGATATACCATTGCATAAAAGACAATGCATCTCAGTATCTGTATTTTTGGCCTTAAAGCAGATGCATCTAAGTGTTCCCGAATACTTTTTGGAGTGTGTCTGCCCAGCCCTGGTTTATGGCACATTAATTTATTCTATCATTCTTATTATTTTCCAGGTACTTCGGGCAAATCAACCCATCTGAAGTGCGATACAAAAGTGCAACCAGTGGCATTGCACCGAAGTTGCGAACTCTTCAAGTGCTTTGACATCTGTGAGTGTACCGTCCTTCAATTATACTCAGTGTCACTAGTTGTGTGTAGTGCAGGTGAATGCAATGCCATGCGAAGAGAGAAAAGGCGAGCGCTAGGAAGGCATATGGGAGGGGAGGGCAGGGCTGGGGGAAAGCACTACGAATGTTAGATAGGAGAGGAGGTTACTCTCCTCACCCGCCTTTCTAGCGCTTGCCCTTTCCCCTCTTCGGGCACTGTTTTAGCCTGTGCTGCTAGCAAGTAGTGTCTCGGAATATATTCACCATTGTACAGATTATGATGCACTGGCAGGTAATAACTGGGTAAAATTAATCTGCTCAGTGCTTGAAGACGCAGCTCGCGACTTGCTTGAACACGGCCCACAGGAAACCAGCTGCAACCTCCCGTTCTCATAACGAGCATTACAAATGGCATGCATTATAATATGTCGCTAATAGACCGATCTCAACAGCTAGTTTGAGTACGCCACCGCTGCCGATATGCATCGTGGGAGCTGTAGTCTTTCTACACGCGCGACAACCATGCTGGAGGTTTGCGCGAGTAGACCACGAGGCACCTTGAGCTGTCGCGTGAACTGGCGTCTGCCTCCTACGAATTACAGTTATGGCGGCGTCACGCATGCGTGGAACGCTTGGTGGGATCGGTCTATTCATTTACGCTGGAAACGTAGCTATGCTCTTGTAACATATCCACATAGTTAATGTAGTTTCGTTTTTTTATTTTTTAGGTGTTTAGTCTCTATTTTTCCTTCCCGTCTTTTTTTTTAGTATTTAGCACCTGCACGACAATTCCGCTGGTAGGCTGCAAACACGAGCTCTTTGCCCAAGGATGCACTTCAACTGCATGAACTCTCGCTTGTCAGAAGCAACCACCGAAGATAAATTCATGAGCTCTGGATTCTCGCCCTCAGAAAATATCACCATTAAAATATAAGCATTCGCTCAGACTGGTGCTATCAGAAATTCCCAGAAAAGCAAAAGGCATTCTTTCGAGACATGTTGAGCTTGAATATATCCTGAGTGAAATAAGCAACGGCAACAACAGTGTACTTCTTCTCTTGTCCTCTTACAAAATGCCAGTATGTTGGCGGCAGTACCACTTTAATTCTTGTGATTGCATCAGGAAAGGGATACAGGGAGCACTACAAATGAATCACGGCTAAAAATGTCACTGTCAAGATTGCAAGTTACAAAATGTGGAGAGCGCAAGGTCCCTTTAACAAATTTCTTGACCCCCGATCTTTTGGGGGTGGGCTATCTGGCCTCTACACTCAAATGTGTTTGAGAGCACTGTTTTAGATGGTCCAAAATTTTGTTAAAGGAAGCTCGCATTAGGACACCTCTGATGTTGGCATTCGTTTATCTGGTTAGGCGCCACTGAGTACAAGGTTGCTTATGGCATTTTTCGGCTAATTGTGCATTTTATTAGTAAAAAATAAACACAGTTGCAATAAGAAACAAGCTGGCATTGTTGAAAACCGCCAAAATCAGTTTAAGTATATTGAAAACACATGCTTTTTATCTGTGTTTTCGGTTTTCCAGCCTTGCATCTGTATCTAAAGTGGTAAACTTTCCACCCCACTATTCTTCAGTGGTGTGCAAAATATTTATGAAGTTGGCTGAGTTCCTGGTTTTTCGTAATGCTCATTAAGTAAGGTGTGGGGCCTTGACAGTGTCCTATATGTATCTAATCATGGTATGCAACTGGGTTTTGCTTTTCAGGAATGCTCCATGGCTCTTTTTGGTGGTCAACACCCAAGGCAGAAGACTAAAAGACAAGACATGCAAAAAGAAGAAGAAAAAAAAAAAACAAGCGACATTTCTGGTGCATGCATTCAATGTGTATTTTTGTAGTATATGTTTCACCCAGTGTTTATGAGCAATAAATATGTAGGAACAGATACCAATTTTCGTAGCTTATTTTATAAAATTTTGCATGATCCTGACAATGTTATATTCGCAAGAGTAACACAAAAGCTCTCAATTGTATTTCAGGTTGACAGTTAGGACGTCAAAATGATGCCAGGCCATATAATGAAATGACGATAGAATGTGGGATTGGCAGCCTAATTGTTTTCGGGTTGGCAGATGGGACATGAAAATGACACAAAACACCGTCATTTGACGGTTAAAAGCTGGGAAAAGAGCTGCAAAGACATTTCCTGTCAATTTGATGGAAAATGTTCTAGTGTTAGTTTTGTTGACTTCGCACATGTACACCTAAGAGTGGGGTTTATCGGTCCCAGTAGGTGAGAAGGGTGTGGAAAACGGTATATAAGTACACCTAAGAATGGGGTGTAACTGCATTCCCAGTGAGAAACGGAATATCTGTGCACCTAAGAATGGAGTGTATCAGTATTCCCAGTAAGTGAGAAATGGAATATATGTACACCTAAGAATGGGGTGTATGAGTATTCCCAGTAAGTGATAAACGGAATATATGTGCACCTAAAAGAGGGGTGTATCAGTATTCCCAGTAAGTGAGGAACGGAATATACGTACACCTAAGAATGGGGTGTATCGGTATTCCCAGTAAGTGAGAAACGGAATACATGTACACCTAAGAATGGGGTGTATCAGTATTCCCAGCAAGTGAGAAACGGAATATATGTACACCTAAAAATGGGGTGTATCAGTATTCCCAGTAAGTGAGAAACGGAGTATATGTACACCCCGGGGTGGGGTGTGTCTTATGCACCCGCTGAGGTGCACATGTGCACCTCAAAATGAGGTGCATGTATGCACCCCTTTTTGGGGTGTCGCATATATACCCATGGGGGTGTCGTATATGGGACAAGTCACATACACCCCACTGGGTGTAAGTACTACACCCCTTTTTTTTAGAGTGTAGCTGTCAAGGTTCCTAGACGGGCATTACAAGCGAGGCGTTAGCGACATCCACCAGGTGCTCTTTGCTAATCGTCTAATTCGTTTTAAAATTTCTTTTCGTGACCTTTTCAGCAAGATATTGGTATGTTCGATGTGATGCTGCTCCTTTGAACAGATATAGACAAAAAAATGAGCGCCGAAATTTCGTTGTAGTATCCCTTTAAAGGGGCCCTGCAATCATGTTTAAGCGCCTACCTTTTTGCAGTTTCCACGTCTCTTAGGGTTCGGGAAATCCAGCGGGCACGGAGAGAGTAACTAAATATCAGTCAGTCAAATTTTAACCGGAAGACGTGGAAACCTCCTCCACCTACGAGGGCGACCCGCCTTGCCGAAAGCACGCAATATGTGACGTCTTTGGTCCTGGGCTTACTACTGGTCAGAGCAGCTAAAAGCTTTTTTTTTAGTCGAAATACGAAATATGAGTGTCACGAACCGTTTCAATTATGTATGAAAGTAGTTTTTGTTCGGTAATTTAGATCAGAAAAGAAACAAATGCAGTTTATAAAGTACGGAAACAAGAAAAGACTCGTCGACAAACCCGCCACCAAGCCTCGGAAAAAACGGCGCAAACTAGAAAAGGCTAGTGGGATGAGGCTCCGATGAACAGCGAACTTAGAAAGGTCCCGGATGTACGCGGCGGCGCTGTAGTCGTATACCGGCTCGAGGATCCGACCGGTTCCGAGCGTTCCGAAGGCTTTCGGCGCGGGCTTGGCTGCCGATTTGGCCACTTGGCGGTATGGCAGCGCAAAGTGGCTCCCGTTCTGAACTGATCTTTACACCGTGTTTGCTGTAATTTGTGGCCAATGAAGTGTTATGCTAAATTAGTCCTTAATCGCGCAGCAAATGCAATGCGAGCCGCCGTGGCTGCCCGCTTCATACAGCCTATTCAACACGTGCTTTAGTGGCGCCCTCTGAAGCCGTCGGCACGGAGTGCGGCAGCCGTGAGCGCTCGATGAGCTCACTCCTCTAGTTCGCGGCTACTCAAGCCAGGACCTACGATGTCACGAAGGAGGTTATTTTTTGCTTGTTTTTGTAATCCTAAATTGCATATAACTTTTAAAATAAAGCGAAATTTGAGAAAATAAAAGTTTCTTTAAGTTACTACCCAAGCAGCACCAGAAAGTGAATTTCGATCGGCCGACGGTTGGCCAGTGTCTGGACAGCTTGGCCACTTTAAGTGCTTGGCCACCGGAGACATAAACAAGGCAGGCAAGAGTCCGGCCACAAACTAGCTGTTTTTAGCTTGTCCGCCGGAGACATAAACACTGCCGGCAAGCGCCTGGCCAGAAGTGCTGATTTCCAGCTTGGCCGCCGGAGACATAAACACGGCCGGCAAGCGTTTGGCCAGCAGTGCTCATTTGCAGCTTGGCCGCCGAGGACATAAACACGGCTGGCAAGTGTGTGGCCAGAAGTGCTGATTTTCAGCTTGGCCGCCGGAGACATAAACACGGCCGGCAAGTGTTTGGCCAGTAGTGTTGATTTTCAGCTTGGCCGCCGGAAACATAAACACGGCCGGCAAATGTTTGGCCAGC